AGCAGGAAACGTGGGACAGGAGCAGGTTCTCTGCAAGGCTGGGTGGGCAGCTCTGCTACAAAAGCCCTTTTGTCCCCTCATGGGGCAAAGCTGTGGAGGGGAACAGTGTCCTGGGAACTGGAGAGATGGATTTGGAAAGGGTGCAGGGTAAAGAAGGTCTTCTCAGGCCTTCCTCAGCCCAACTAGCACGGCCTGCTGGTGTCCTTGGTGTTGGGAGGACCATGGAGCTGAGCAGTGAGGACAGGACCCACCTTGAGCTGCTTTGAACCCCCCTCTATCCAAGCTGGCAAGGGAGGAGTCATCCCCCAAGGATGAGGTTCCTCAGGTGGATGGTGGGTACCTTGTGAAAACCCAAGTTAGATGGGTCAAATCCTACCTGAGACTCATCATCTGCCTCACTTGCCCTGCTGTGGCCAACAGCTCCAGCAGGTGCTGGGCTGGGCCATCCAGCCCACTTGCTATGCAACTGGGGGAGTGAGGACCAGATGGAGAAGCAGAGCATGGAGACAGCCCCTGCCTTGGCACACGAGGAGTACGGGCAGAGCTCACCCATGCACCATCTGGCTCGACTGGAAGATGATGCTCCAAGGTGGTGCCACATGCCACCAGGCCACAGCCTGGATCCAAGCATATTGCCCCAACCAAGACAGGAAGCTGGGGGCTCCTGGAGCCCTGTGACCCCTCTGAGAAAGCCAGGTCAGCCTGGTTGCACCATGCCAGGACATGACCCACAGGTGAGAGCTCAGGCATAGATGTCCTGTAGCTCCAACCTGTGTCCAACCAGTTCATCCAGCAGGGTACTGGTGAGCCCCAGCACGGCTGTCCTCTGTCCAACCAGCCTCCTGTCCCACCTCAGAGAAAGACACAACCCATGGGAAATCCTCCATCTATGTCAACACCAGCAGGGACACCACCTGACCCCAAACCTTGTGCAGCTTCCCCCAGAAAGAAGCAGCAGAACCAGGGTCCTCTCACCCCTCCAAGCCAACATCTGCACTAGGAGCATCCTGGAAGGCTCCTTCCCTCCTGCAGCAACATCTGGCAGGGAACATTTAATGGGAAAGCTGGGTGTTGGGATGATGGGTGCCCCATGCCCAGCAGGTGTCCTACAGGCTCCATTTCCTACCAAGCAGAGCAGAGCTCAGATTTTTTGGTGCTTCCACCAGCAGCAATGTGGTTGGACAACCCACACCTACGTCAGTTGTGACTTAGTCTCCAGGGCGTTGACCACCATTAACCTTCTGAAACACCTTCATTAACATCTGAAACGTGGGGTGGACCCTTAGGCCAGGGAACTCCCTGGGGAGGGGGCTGGGAGTCCCACAGCTCAGTGGAAAAAGGAGAGAAAACCCCTTGGCCTGTGACTGCAGGTGATGACACTGAGCAGAAAATGGGGGGACATGGGAATGGGAGGTGGAAGGGGTCCCCCATCATGGGATGGCCAGGAGATGGGGTGCACCAGCACCCCTGCAGGGGGGCTGGACTAGATGACCTTTAAAGGTCCCTTCCAACCCCACATATTTGATGATTCTATGAAGGTGAGGAAGAGCTTTTTTGTGGGGGCAAGAATGGGAAGGGCCCTGGGGGACACGATACCCACCAGGTGACAACCCACCTGGGAACATGATGGGCTTGATTCTGGGGGGGGTAGAGGTGACACCAACAACCCCATTCTTGACCCTATTGTCCCAGTGCTCCCACCACCCATCCTTGCTGTCCTCAGCATCCCCAGTGCCCACCCATCCCCAGTGCACTGGTGCTGGTGGAGCACCCACAGCTCAGGGTCTGCCCCGGGGGTCCCAGGGCTTGGTGACAACCACCCCGTGAGGTGTTTTGAGGTGCCACCACCCCAAACCCTGCCACCTTACCTGCATCAAGGTGCGCAGGGACTCCACGTAGGACTGCTCGGTGTCCAACAGCGTCATGATGACGTGTTTCCTCATGTCCTGCCCGGGTGTAGGGGGGGGGAGGGAAAAAAACACAAAAAAAACACAAACCAAACCAACGAGATGACTTTTTTCTTTTTCTTTAGGGTGACACGATGGAGAGGGAGCTACCACACGAGGGTGGGGGGCTCAACCAGGAGCCTGGACACCCAAAGAGCCCGGCTGGTCTCTCCAGCTTCTCTCCGCTCCCTCTCCAGCCCCATGGAGGAATCTGGGAGGATTAGGAAGTACATGACACCGAGCGCCTGGTTTCCTCCACGGCAGCGTCAGGAACCCGCCCTGGCTCTCAACAGCCCTACATGGGTCGGTCCCAGCACCCTCTGTCTCTCCTCCAGCTCCTCTCCCAGACATCCCAGAGGAATTTCGCCTCCCGCCCGGCACCCCCCCTGGGCACCCCCCCATAGGAGGGGTTGGGGGGGGAGTGGGAGGTGGGTTGGGAGGCTTGGGAAGGAGATGGGTCAGGGGGTTGTTGGCTTTGAGGGGGCTTGGAGACCTGCAGCACCTGGGGGGTCACCCCTGCAGCTCAGCCTGGAGGTGAGATGCTCCAGAGAGTGGGACACCCTGGAAGTTTTGGGTGTTGAGAAGCTCCAGAGATCCTGGGTGCAACAACACCCCCAAAGATGTGGGTGTTGAGAAGCTCCAGAGATCTTGGGTGCAACAACACCCCCAAAGATTTGGGTGTTGAGAAGCTCCAGAGATCCTGGGTGCAATGACACCCCCAAAGGTTTGGGTCTTGAGAAGCTCCAAAGATGCTGGGTGCAATGACACCCCCCAAAGATCTGGTTGCAGAGAAGCTCTGGTGACCCTGGGTGCAATGACACCCCCAAAGATGTGGGGGTTGAGAAGCTCCAGAGATGCTGGGTGCAATGACACCCCCAAAGATGTGGGGGTTGAGAAGCTCCAGAGATGCTGGGTGCAATGACACCCCCAAAGATGTGGGGGTTGAGAAGCTCCAGAGATGCTGGGTGCAATGACACCCCCAAAGATGTGGGGGTTGAGAAGCTCCAGAGATGCTGGGTGCAATGACACCCCCAAAGATGTGGGGGTTGAGAAGCTCCAGAGATGCTGGGTGCAATGACACCCCCAAAGATGTGGGGGTTGAGAAGCTCCAGAGATGCTGGGTGCAATGACACCCCCAAATATTTTGTTGCAGAGTTCTGGTGACCCTGGGTGCAATGACACCCCCAAAGATTTGGGTGTTGAGAAGCTCCAGAGATGCTGGGTGCAATGACACCCCCAAAGATCTGGTTGCAGAGAAGCTCTGGTGACCCTGGGTGCAGGGACACCCAAAGATTTGGGTGTTGAGAAGCTCCAGAGATCCTGGGTGCAGTGACACCCCAAAAGATTTGGGTGGAGAGATGCTGCAAGGGCCCTGGGTGCAGGGACACCCCAAAAGTTTTGGGTGGTGAGATGCTCCAGAGACCCTGCATACAATGACACCCCCAAAGATTTGGGTGTTGAGATGGTCCAGAGATCCTGGGTGCAATGACACCCCAAAAGTTCTGGGTGTAGAGATGCTCTTAGGACCTTGGGTTCAGAGATACCCCAAAATTGTTGGGTGTGGAGATGCTCCAAAGGGCCTGGGCATGAGGCACCCCGAATATTTTGGGTGCAGGGACAACCCAGCGGCTCTTGGTCCCCAAATGTTTTGGTGCCAAGAAGCTCCAGAGACACCCTGAGTGCAGTGATACCCCAAAAGTTTTGGGCGTGGTGGTTCTCCAAAGGCCCTGGCTGTGGGAAGGCCCAACATCTGTGGGTGCAAAGATGTTCCAAGGGTGCTGGGTGCAGAGATGCTCCAGAAGTTCTGGCTGTGGAGGTGCTGCTCCAAGTGTCCTGGGCATGAGAAGCCCCAGAAGCATTGGATGCAAAGATTCTCCCTGGGAAAGGAGATGTTCCAAGATGCTGGGTATGGAGACCCTGCAATGGTGTGGACACTGTCCAAAGACACTCAAAGCTTTGGGTGCAGGGACACCCCAAAGTCCCTGGAGATTTGGACACCCCCAAGGCCACAGAGATGCCCCAAAGGTCCCAGGTGTGGAGATATTCCAGTGAACCTGGGGACAGGGACACTCAAAGTGTCCCATGAATGGAGACACCCCAAAGGTGGAGGGACACCCTGGGTGCTGTAGGGGAAGGGATGCCCCAAAGCCCATGTGGACAAGGACCTTCCAAAGGTCCTGGGTGCTCAGACACTCACCCAGCCCTGGGGGCAGGGATGTCCCACTGGGCCACCAAAGCATGTTTGGACCAGGATTCCCCTGACCTGCTCCCACCACAGGGGTGGTGGACCCACCAAAGCTGCACTGTACCCCAGTGTCCCCTGGCCACACAGGGGGCTGTGTCCCCCAGATGGTGGGGTCACCACTGCCACTAAGTTGCTCTGCAACCACTGCAGGAAGCCCTAACACGACCATCCCCCCCACCAGGGATGGAGGTCACCACCTCCTGGGTGCTCTCCAAGGAGCAACAGGGAGGGATCCTGGCGAGATCCTGCGTGGGGCTTGAGAACAGGCCCGTGCCTCAGTTTCCCCACTCACCCACCAAGCCAGAACCAGCCTTTCCAGCCAAGCAAGGAGGAAACTGCCCAGAGCCAAATGTTGTGGTGACGGGTCAAAGCCCCCCCCCCCAGGAAATCTTCCTTCCCCCAAACCATCTTGATGTCCTCAGGGACACCAGCTGAGACCTCCCCTCTTCATGACAGCCTGATCTTCATCCACACTCTGCTGGATTCATTTGTTCCAATGATGGGCTGAAAAGCAGCCACCAGAGGATGAGCGGGGGGGAGGACCCCCTCGCTCTCCCCCCCCCACCCCGACCCACCACTCTGCCTCAGTTTCCCCAACCTTTGCACGTCCTGTAGTTCCCCACCTCGCTGGGATGCTCCCAAAATTTCCCAGCCCTGTCCCAGCTCCCAAACCCAAGGGCTGGCTGACCCCAAAGGGCTCAGCACCCCACACCTCAGCACCAGCTGGGGAGGTGCAGGATGAGGCCCAGCCCTTGGCATGGGTTTGGTTTTTTTTTTTTCCCCCTCTCCATCAGGTGATCCCAGAGGGGAGCT